TCTGCCTGCTCATTATTTCTTATAGCACAGTAGTATTCCATTACATTCATATACCACAGCTTGTTCAGCCATTCCCCAGTTGATGGGCAGCTTCTCAATTTCCAATTCTTTGCCACCACAAAAAGAGCTGCTATAAATATTTTTGTGCATGTGGGTCCTTTTCCCATTTGTATGATCTCTTTGGGATATAGCCCTAGAAGTGCTATTGCTGGGTCAAAGGGTAGGCACATTTTTATATCCCTTTGCTCTCTAAAATGGTTGGCTCATTTCACAACTCTACCAACAAAGCATTAATGTTCCAATTTCCACACATCTTCTCCCGCATTTATCATTTTTCTGTTTTGTCATGTTGGCCAATCTGATAGGTGTGATGTGGTACCTCAGAGTTGTTTTGATTTGCATTTCTCTAATCAACAGTGGTTTAGAGCATTTTTTCATATGACTATAGAGCTTTAATTTCTTCATCTGAAAACTGCCTGTCCATATCCTTTGACCATTTATCAATTGGGGAATGACTTGCATTCTTATAAATTTGACTTAATTCTCTATATATTTTAGAAATGAGTTCCTTATCAGAGACACTGGTTGTAAAAATTCTTTCCCAACTTTCTACTTTCCTTCTAATCTTGGTTGCATTGACTTTGTTTGTGCAAAATCTTTTCAATTTAATGTAATCAAAATTATCCATTTTGCATTTCGTAATGTTCTCTGTTTCCTATTTGGTCATGAATTCTTTTGTTTTCCATAAATCTGACAGGTAAATTATTCCTTGCTCTCCCAGTTTGCTTATAGTATCAGCTTTTATATCTAAATCATGAACCCATTTTGACTTTATTTTGGTATATGGTGTGAGATTTTGGTCTATGCCTAGTTTCTGCCATACTCTTTTCCAGTTTTCCCAGCAGTTTTTTTTTTCAAAGAGTGGGTTCTTATTCCAGAAGCTGGGGTCTTTGGGTTTATCAAATAATAGATTACTGTAGTCATTGACTGCTGTGTCTCGCATACCTAAGCTACTCCACTGATCCACTACTCTATTTCTTAGCCAGTACCAAGCAGTTTTGATGATTGCTACTTTATAATACAATTTAAGATCTGGTATAGCTCGTCCACCTTCTATTTGGGATTTTCTTGGCAGAGATACTGGAACGGTTTGCCATTTCTTTCTCCAGCTCATTTTGCAGATGAGGAACTGAGGCAAACAGAGTGAAGTGACTTGCCCAGGGTCACCCAGCTAGTAAGTGTCTGAGGCCAAATTTGAACTCGGATCTTCCTGATTCCAAACCCATTGCTCTATCCACTGTGCCAGCTTGCTGCCCCCACCGTTGTCTATACCTGTGGAGGAAGTTATACAGTCACGCTGGTCTGAACTACCACAGATTGATGTGGGCCCCCACCTCCGACCTAATTCAACAGACTCATATGTAGTTTTGATCACAACACCTTTTACAGGGATGGATAATCAAATCCCCGGAAATACTGACAGTGCAGCACCAGACCTAAAAGAAGCAAACGTTGCATACGTGCGCTTCAGTTAGAAACTAGACCCATTACGATGCCTTGGCTCTTAAGTCACTGAGGAGACGGTGGCTTCTCCCACATTCTTCTTGGGCTCATTCCCGCCGCTCCGGATTCCCAGGTGGTCCGGGCCTGGGTCCCCAGTCCAGACCATCAGTTTGTCCCCGGGCGAGCGCGGCTCAGACGGGTCCCATCCTCCCCGGGCCCCCTCTCCGGGCGTCTGCAGGATGCCGCGTGGCTGTGGCTGAAGCGGATGCTGACGCCAGCCCTGGCTGTTGGGAAGGCAGCGGATCTCTTTTCAAGGGGCTTGTGGCCTGGCGGGGGTTCTTGTCGTCCAGGATTACCAAGTCTGCTCTTAAAGGACTCTGCTCGTCCTGGATCTGTCGAATTTCCCCGAACCTCCGTTTTTTCTGGCTCTTGGACAGCTTCACGGGTGTAGACTAACACTGTGCCGTCGGAGACTCCTCACAGCTGCTGGTTCAGTAGCTTCCTGTACCAGGCTGGGCCCCCTCCACAGCAGAGGACGTTCCGTACTGGGAAGGTGGAGGCTGGGCCCTGGGAGCCGACTTTTCTGCTGGCAGTCACTCCTTTGCTCTAAGCTCTGATAAAGAAATGGATTTTTTTTTTTAGGGTTTAATTTTTTTTTTCAGTTAACAAAAGTCAATTTTTCCTCCGTCCCCTCCCCTGGGGGAAGGAAAAAAAAGAAAGAAAACTACACGTTGTAACAAATATGGAAAGTCAAGCAAGACAAATTCCCACACTGGCTGTGTGCAGTAGAGCGTCTGACTTGGTCTTCACCCTCAGTCTGGGCCATCAGCTCTGCCATTGGACGGCGGTAGCAGCTGCTCTCTCGAGCATTGGTCTGGGCATTGATTGGTGCTCTGACGCCTTCCCAGGACTTGGCTGTGCCGTGTTGTCCTCCCTGGACGCCGTCCGTGTTCTCCCCCGGCTCTGCTCACAGCTCCCTGTCCACCCGGCCCTTCCCAGGCCTCTCTGAGGCCGCCCCTTCCTCATTTCTCAAAGCACTCTGTGACATTCACCCAGCAGCCTGTGCTTGGCCAGCCCCAGTAATAGATAGCCCTCCTCTGAGGTCCCAGACCTCTGCCACTAGCCAAGCCATCAATGGTGCCAGAAGTGCCTTGGTTTCCTTCCTTTCCAGGCTGCCCCCCAGACCCTCTGCTCCAGGCTGGGGACCGTTGTCCCCGTCTCCCCCCCTCTTTGCCTTCTTCTCTATGTTGTCTTTCCCTGTTAGAATGGAAGCGCCTTGAGAAGAGAGACTTGTATTTGTGTTCCCAGCAGCTTAGCACCCTGCCTAGCAAAAATAAGCGCTGGCTGATTGAATGGCTGAATGCGGAAATTGAAGCCCCGGGAAGTCAAGTGACTTGTCCAAGGTCGTGCGGGTGGTAAGCCGAGGGTGGTCCCCAACTCTCTGCAGTCTTCGTGTGTTGACGTAGCCAGACATCATCCTTGGGCCGTCCCTGTTGGAGGATATGCCTGTCACAGGGCAGCTAAGAAGGCCCCCTCTTGTCAGACGTGCCAGCCATCCCCAAGCTCAGGGGGACCAGCCAGAACGTGTGCTCAAGAGCCCAGGGTCCCTTCACCTTCAGGATGAGGCACTGGGTGAGGACGTCAGCACAGTCCTTCTGTCCCAACTCAGTGATCTACATCAGTCACGTATCATCCTCACCACATTTGGCAGGAGGGGAAACTGAGGCACCAAGAGGGCTTGCCTTCAAATCAGCCTTCTGTCGCTAATGGTCTGAGCCAGGACTCAAACCCACAACTTGAAACTTTGTTTTAGATGACGCTAGGCCCTTGTGTCGTGCCGAATGGTGCAGAGAACGCTGACTTTGGAGTCAAAGGACAGAGATTCAGATCCAAGTGACTTGGACAAGTCACTTGCTCCTCCGTAAGACGATGGGGTTGGACTCAATGACTTCCCATTCTGCTTTAGAAGCAATGGAGCGGACAGGTTTGTCCTGGCCTTTTAGGCAGGTAGTAAGCATTCCTGCATATTGATAGCGTCTTCCCTGAAATTGCGCAGCCCTCAGCCAGTGACTGACAGCCGGCGACTGCTGGGTGCCACTGAGTCATCTCTTCCCGCGGCACTCTCCCATGCTTGGCCTCACCCTAGGAACACGGTGACAGGCGAGGTCCCCACTGTCCAAGAAGATGAAATTGGGCCTTCCAACACGGCGCCAGTGATTGCTTAAGCCAGGCCCCTCCTTTTACCAACAAGGATGTTGGGACAGTGAGGTGGGAGGATAGATACGTCCAGGAGGACCTGGGTTCAAATGCTGCCTCTGGCTCTTACTAGCGCGGTGACTCTGGGCAAGTCAACCTATTTCAGCCTTAGTTTCCTCATCCATAAAATGGGGGTAACATCACCTGCCCCAAAGGAGGTAACGTTTATGACGCCCTTTGTGGACCTTCGAGCTTTCTAGATGTGCCCACTATTCATTAGTCAGCGAGCGCTGGCCACGAGCCAGGCTCTGGGCTAAGTGGTAGGGGCGTGGCAGAAGGGGAGACTCATTCTTTGTGAGTGAGGAGCCCAAAGGAGGCCCGTGTGTTCCAAATCCCACATCTCCTTTGTCCCGCTGTCAGCAGTGCTTCTCACAGCAGCTGGCACACAGTTGGTGCTCAGTAAATGTTTGCTGTATTGAATGCTGCTGCCTTCATTCAGCCTTCCTGGCCCATATGTTTTAATTTTAGATAAATGGTCAATGTCCTGCCACTTCTTACACCACTGGGTGGCGCCACAGTGCACAGAGCACTGTGCTGGGAATCGGGAAAACTCCTCTCCCTGACTGCAAGTCCAGCCTCAGACACTGTGTAGGTGCTGTATGACCCTGGGCAAGTCACTTCACCCTGTTTGCCTCAGTTTCCTCCTCTGTAAAACGTGCTGGAGGAGGGAATGGCAAACCACTCCAGTATCTGTGCCAAGAAAACCCCAGAATGGGGCCACGGAGAGTTGGACACGACTGGAATGACCGAACGCACACACTTGTACCACCGGTCCCCTCCTCGTAGAAACTATAGCTGAACCCCCGATTATGAAAGCTCGGGGAACCCGGAGGGCTCCCGCCGGTCTGGTGGCCCCCCCAGGAGAGAGACAGCAGGCTCCCCGAGAAGCCCAGGCGGATGGGAGGCAGGCTGCTGCCACGGGCACCGTCCACGGGGGCCGGGCCGGGGCAGCCCCGGCGTAGAGGCCCTCTGCGTCTTCTGGGCCTCCCGCAGCTGCTCGCAGGGTGGAGACCGGCCGTGGGGCTCCCGCCCTCTAATCACACTAGCATTTTTCCCCAGAGAGAAAATCCCTTCATCCATCATTTTAATTTCATGTTTTACCACTTCCAAATGGGAATTCTGGCTTTGTTTTTAATCAGCTCGTGGCATTGTGTCAAGGATTTGTAAACTTGTGATAGAGGGTGGGGGGATTGAGAACAAAACTGCTCCAAACCTCTGTGGCTTCTCTCTGGTTCCCCAAGGTCGCGTTCCAGAAACCAGACGTCTGAATTTGGAGAAGGTCGGAGTGACGCTTCACCCAGACTCGCAGAAGATCCTGGTCGACGCCAGCGAAGCGACTTCAGTGGCGCATATATACGCCATCGGGGACATCACAGAGGTACACCCCCCCGGAAGTGATGGGACTATGTACAGAAGCCGCGCCACCTCCCACCCCCCTCTGCCCGCTAACCCCTGGGCCGGACGGCTCCCATCAGCTGGCGCCGCGGCCGCGGCCTGGGTCTTGTTCGGACCCAGCCAGACATTGTGGCGATCACGCTTTGTCACCCTGAATTCAGAGAGAGGCTTAAATCCAACCTCCAAGTGAGGTGATTTTTACAATAAGCAGACTGAAAAGAGTGGGAAACGATTCCTCTTAAAATGGGGCTCATTCTGAGTATGGCCGAGCTGTGATATGAAGACCGTTTGCCAAAGATCGGTAAAGCCTGACACATAGTAAGGGCTTCATAAATGCTTCTTCCTCCCTTCCTTCCTCCCTCCTTCCTTCCTTGGTTCTCTGTATCTTTCATGTGTGGAAAGGCCCCGAGGCCCACTAATGCAGCCTCTTTCTCTGACGCTAAAGCCCCTGCCCGAGCCGTAAGTGACAGAGCAGGGTCTGAAGCTGGGCCTTGAGTTGCTGAGCCCAAAGCTCTTTCTACTCTGTCCTCGTGGGGTGACCTTGGACCAGTCACAATCCCTCCCCAGGCCTCTCTTGGCTCCTGTCTAGCAGGAAGGGCTTGGCCCCGATGCCTCGGAGGGCCCTTCCAGCTTTAATGTGCTCTCAGTGGGGCTTGTTTTTAAGTCTGCTTTCCAGTAATAGATGTTTCTGGACAGCTGTTTCCTAATCCAAGTGGATAAGGCGCATTTGCTTTGAGCTCTAAGGTAGAATTGGCATTTCCTGGGACTGTGGGCCTGGTGCTGAAAGGGATCCAGGCCCCCTCCTTCTCTGGCAGCCCAGGGTCTCAAGTGCCTGCCCCGTATCTCACAAGCCTCAGAGGTAGGATTGGAACCCAGGCCTCTCTGTCAGACTCTAGAGCCGTGGTCTTTCCACTGGGCTGCACTGCCCCCTGACTCATTTCTCCGATGCTGGTCCCCTTGGTGGACTTCTGTCATTTCTACAGTGCCCAATTTTGCCTCATGAGTTAGAGGGGTGGGCTGCTCTGCTCTTCACGGAACACTCCGGCACCCAGATGGGGCCCTAGCACCTTGGGCGGGTGCCCCGGGGGGCTCACCACAGACCGAAGGCAAGCATGGCTGCCCAGGCACTGGTGGCCGCCAAGCCCCTGGCAGGGCTCCTCTTCCTCCACCTGCGGGCCCAGGGCTTGAAGAGAAAGGCTTCTGGCTGTCAGCCTCACGCCCAGACACCCTGGGCCTCATCTCTTGGGCCTCCAAGTCCTGAACCCCGTGATCCCAGGAGCTATTGCCTGGAGGACAGCTCGGCCCCCACCCTGGGCTTTCACCACCCGCTGCACTGAATCCTCAGGTTCCCCTTGATCTTGAGCCTGGTCCCCATGGCCCCAGTGCCCCGTGGACCCCAGGGAACCAGCCAGGAGGCCGACAAAGACGGGGACGGCAGCCGGCGTGGGCTGCCGGGCCCCATGTCCCCCCACCAGTTAGGGTGAGGGCCCTTAGCTTCTTTGTCTCAGTGAAACCTCTAGACCTTGTCTCAGAATCATGTTCTGAAATGCTTAAGGCTCTGTGTAGACTGTGACAAAGGAGACCGAGTCCATTGTGATGCCATTATCAGAATGTTTTTAAAACCAAGTTTTAAACAGGCCCCTGGATTGGGGGAAGCATCAGAAGGAGAGGAGGAGACACCGGTGTTTGGACTCCATTCCTCATCGCGGGAAGCCATCCCTATGGGGGGGGGGGCAGGAAGGAAAGAGCTGCCACAGATCCCCAGCTGCCCCGAGGGGCTCCCTGAGAGGCCCAAAGGGTCTGCAGTAGCGGGATTAGGAACCTGGTATTGGGGAGTTATGTTGAATGCAAGACTTCACTGTTGATTAATCCAACAGCTGATGAGTTTTCAAATATCTCCGAGCCCTGCGCCTCCTAAGTGGGCCAGGATTGGATCCTGATCCCGTGAGAGCGTCCCCCTCAATGATGGGGGGTGGGGGGCAAGGAGAGGACTGCCTTCCCCAAAGGATCTCCCTCAGCTGCGTGCTCCAGCTGGAGGAGGGAGGGGGCAGCGCCTGCCCCTTCAATTGGTGAAGCCCCCCACCCGCTTTCCCATGTCCCCCCAGGGCACTGCCGAGTAGGTGATGGACAGATGTCAGGACGGAGGGCTCTCTGATCAGAGGGGGTTCGTTAGTTATAAAGCAGACAGAGTCATTTTCCTCGGTAAACAGTCAGACTCGTTGTTACCGAGTAGACTAGAATGTGCCGCCTTGCCCCCAAAAGAGAACCGTCTGAGAATTTGCTTTCATTGTGGCAGACTGGCGTGGGGGGCATGGGAGGGGCCGTGGAGCCTGGGATTGCGGTCATCTGCTTGCCCAGGGTAAACGTTCCTGGGTAGGTGTCCTGCCTGCCGAGCACCGGGAGAGCATCTGAATTATCTGAACTGAATGAGACCACTGAGGGCTGTTTTCAGACGGATGAGCCTCATCAGATATCCAGTAGCTCTCTGGCCCTGGGTCAGTCCCTTCTCCTTGGTCTGCCTGAGTCACCTTAGCTGTAAGATGGGGGGCCCAGAGTTACTGTGAGGATCCGATTTGTCACGTGCTTTGCAGTCCTCGCGGCACCTTAGACATACCAGCTACCGTCCTTACGGTGTCAGCCGTGGTTGTCATCCCCGTCCTGGGCTGACGTCCCGAGGAGGTTAGTGACGGCGAGAAGCCACGCCTCTGGCACGGGGATTGTTAGCAGCATTATCGTGAGCACGATGGCCAGAAATCAGATGTGAGCCTGAACACGGGGTGGTCGCTCTCCCACGGGGAGTGGAAAGGAGGAAGATTCGGGGAAACCCGGGAAGACCGGCATGAACTGGCGCAGGGGAGGGTGGCAGAGCCCGTGACGGCGGCTGGCCAGCCGGGAGCGCCAGGCAGGCGCCGCTCTCTTAGATCGAGAAATGTAAAGTCACCTCCCCCTCCCTCATTGAAAACCCACTTTTCCCGTTGACTGTAGAGGTGTCCTTATTCTGTGGCCTCTCTGCCTGTAATTATCGGGCTGCACAGTTGTTTGGGGCCTTATCTCCCGAGGAACACTCCTCTGCCCATGAATGGGGTAGAAGACCTGATTATTTCAGGGGAGGCTTTTGTGTACATTCTGGGTGCGCTCCACCCTCAGATAACACCATTATTCTTGGCCCTTTCACACCGCCTGCAGCCTCTGGAGCCCAATACTTGTCTCCCCTTTATCAGAGAGTGTTCCAGTATGAGGCTTCGGCAGTGGGCCGAGTAGCAGCCTGGAGTTTTGAGGGGGCTCTGAGGACCAAGGCCAGTGTGAGTTGGGTCGAAAAAATCCACCTCTGTATTTCCAAGGGTCTTGACTTGTCCGAGGAATCCCTGGCTCCTGATTTCAATAATGTCCGGAGGATCCGTCCAAGCAGTTCACACCAATGGGAATCTGTCCTTGGATCCGGGGTTTGCCAGAAAGCAGTATTTAATTAGATCTTGTGCTCTGTATCCATGGATGTTTCAGTAATTAGTCAAGCTTCATGGTATGCGAGGCATTGCTTTCACAATTTTATCTGCCCTTCCGATCTCTCGTTCATTTTTGGAATGCCAAAACAACATCTGTATTTCCTGCTCTGGCAATGATTGGCAGCCGCGTTTCAGGCAAATGTGTGGAGGAAAAAACATTTGGCGGGGCTTGTCTGGTCAATGGCATGCAGGGAGTGGGATGGCAAAGTGGTGGCTGGACACTTGATGGGTCTGGGATGAAGCGGGGAGGCCTGAGATTGAGGAATTTCTCGTTGCCTGGCCGGGAAAGGGAGGATTTTAGTTTGAATCCTAATGGGTAACGAGGATGTGGGCTTGGCAATGTGAGTTTAGGTTCCTGTTCTGGGGAAAAGCTGCCAGTTAATCTAGTGGCCATCAGCATCCTGAGCATGGCAGAAAGTGCCCAAAGGCGGCCTTGGCCAAAGAGCACGAGTGCCTAAGCTTGGCTGAATGTTTGTTTCATCTTGGGAACTTCCCCTGAACAAGGAGGGTGGAGGGGGAAAAGAGGGACAGAGGAAAGGAGAGAGAGGAGGGGCAAGGAAGGAGGGAGGAAAGAGGGGGGAGAGAGGAGAGACAGAGAGATTGGAAAATAAATGGAGTTAACTGCTAGTCCTGAGATTTCCAAGGGCTTCTGGTCTGTCGGTTGAGTACTAAGCCTAGAGTGGTTTTCAAGTAAGCGTCCTGGGATACTTTGGATTGGTGACCTCATCCCTGGCTGTTTTTGAGTGGGGTTTTCAGTAAGCCCTGCCCAATGCCATGCAGGGAGCTGCTGCTGGCTCCTTGGCCTTCCTGGGCCTGGGCACCGCTCAGCCCACCTGCCTGTGCTCACCCGTTCTCACTGTGGCCCAAGTCTCCTTTCACCACTCTCTTTTTGGGGAGGGGAAGAAGGGAGTCAGCTGTGGTCTCATCGATGTCGGGAGCGTCCAGGGAACCAACACAAATTGTCACTTCCAGTCAGTAGCACGGTGCCCGCCACCACCCGGAGGTTCAGCGCCTTGTCTGGGCTTTACAACCAGCCCATGGCATGTGGACTAGTCATTTAGTTATCTTCAAAAAGGGCCCCTTTTCACACTGCTGCTCTCACCTAAGTTATCTCTGGAGACACTCCGTAGTCTGCTGGGGCCACCCCGCCTCCTTCCATTGTCTCTCCTCCTGAGATCACACAGCCATAAGCGTATCACTGTCAAAGGGCCCCAAAGGGAGCCCTGGCTCATCACCCCAAGGGGCCCCACCAGGCAGGGAGACACTGGGCAGCCCATGGAACAGACAAGGGAACCAAGCCCTGGGGAAAATGGAGGCGAGGGGACAGCCTCTTGCCTGGCGTTAGGAATCCCCGAGGCGGGGGCGGGGGGGAAAGGGAGGTTCTGTTCAGCTCCCAGCTGCAATCATTCTATGATTTTTCATTCAGGGACGTCCTGAGTTGACCCCCACGGCCATAATGGCAGGGAAGCTGCTGGCACGGCGTCTGTTTGGTCGCTCCACAGAGCTCATGGACTACGACAACGTGAGCATTCACTCCCTTTTCTTACAAGATGTCGAGCCTGGTGCTAGAGGTGGTTCCAAAGTCCCTGTGAATCGTTTTTCTGGACATGTGTGTGTGTGTGTATATGTGTCTGTGTGTGTGCCTGTGTCTGTGTCTGTGTGAGTGGCTGTGGCCTGTGGCCTGTGGCCAAGATGAGCGTGACAATGCTGGACGTTTGCCTCTTGTTCTGCTCTTCCCGGGCCTACGATAATGCCTGCCATGGTTACCTCTTCAGGTGGCCACCACAGTCTTCACTCCCCTGGAATATGGTTGTGTGGGATTGTCGGAGGAAGAGGCGGAAAGACGCTACGGACAAGAAGGCATTGAGGTGCGGGATAGCGCAATGGTCATAAGCGGATGTGCAGGGCACAAGGGAAGAGGGAGGTGGTGATGCAGGGTGTGGGATGGAGGAGCCCAGCCTAGGGCGTGGCTCTCGGGCATGCCAGATGTGGAAGGCCTTTGCCACATTTGTCATGCGGCCTTTGCATAAGAAGTATCAGATGCTTCTGTCTAAAGACTTATGGAATGGCCAGACTTAACCGCCTCTGGGCAGCCATGATGACGGCATTCCCAGGGCCTTCCCTGGGGCCCCACGTGCTCAGCCCACAGGAAGATGCCTGCCCAGAAAGGCCTTGGGCTCTACAGTGACCCACCTTGCCACTCAGCAGCCCAGACAGCAAGATGGTGTGGTGAAGGGCCTATTTGGGTAGGGGGCTTCGAACCTGGCCCAGAGGCCTCATGTCCTTGAAGACTGGGGTCCCTGGAGGCTTCTGATCCAACGTGGGGCTGCCTGAACATCCCTGCTCTGAGGAACTCCGTGCCCCTTCACTTCCTCAAGCCTGGGTTCTCCCTCCTGCCGGGAGCCCCTCTGTAATCTTCTGCCCATGGCTGCGGTGCCAGCCTTCCCAAAGCCCTCTTTCCATTGGCACTGTCCTTGTGTGTCTACTTTGGCCTGTCTGCCACGTCAGTAGTCAAGCCTTCTGCTTAGCCTTTGAGACCTGCCTTGGCCAAATTGGCCAACCCAGCCTTCCCTTCTCCAACACAAACCTTTTCTTCCAGTCCGAAGATCCCCAAGGCCCGGATCTCACCCTCTCCCAAGGCAGGGATCTCACCCTCTCCCAAGGCCCGGATCTCACCCTCTCCCGAGGCCCGGATCTCACCCTCTCCCGAGGCCCGGATCTCAC